CAGGAAGTAGTGGTCCTAGCCACTCCACCTCCCACAGTTCCCCTTGGCTGCAAACGGTGAACCACAGCCAATGGGAACTGCAAGGCTCTGTAGCTGCAGAGCTGTGAAGTAAACAAACCGGAGCAGCCCATTAGCAGCTTTCTCAAAGTGGACCCGTGACCCACTTTGAGAAATAGTGGATAGATCCTACATGGGCACCTGTGTACATACTAAAGGCATTTAAGACATGAATTTGACCCTAAATATTAGGAAATTAAAACTGAAATAATGATCAATAGTCAAGAGAAGATATTTTAATTTAAAGAAAAATGCATAGACAACCATCATACAGAATTATTTCTCCTTCTTCATTTAAATTGAAATGTATACCACAGTATCTAGCAGATGATTGTATTAAAAAGTGCAATAAGTGGTATTTTAAAAAACCAACGAAGAGATCCTACCTGACAGCACCTGCTTCTTTTTGGAGTACATCTCATACAGGAAAATAATGGTTACTAAAATAATAACTTCAGCTGCTATTGCAAGAAATGGTTTGAGTGGTACCATATAGGTGAGGACTTTAAGGGATACTTTTCCTGTGCTCTCTCCTAATTTAAATTCAGCTTGGCACCAATATGATCTATCATCTTTCTCTGAGATCTTCAGAATCTTGAATTTTGTTGTTCTGTTATTCTCTTTGTTGATTTTATATTTATCTGGCATCAAAGAATCATTAACAGCAATCTAATATAAAAAGATATTTTAAAATTATGTGATTACAATGTCAAAAATGTATACAGGCAGTCCCCGGGTTACGTACAAGATAGGGACTGTAGGTTTGTTCTTAAGTTGAATTTGTATGTAAGTCGGATCTGGTACATATTGTAGGGGAAACTCTAGCCAAACATTTCTCCAGAGCTCAGTTTTATTCTCCCACACCTCACTTCCCTCAGTCCTTTATTCTCAAGCTGAGGTGTCTGCTGAGAAAAGCCGCTCCGTGTCTCCCTGGTCTGCTGGGGGGGCGGCGCTAGCTTTGCGTCTCCCTGGTCTGCTGGGGAGAAGCAGCTAGTGCGGGGTTGCCTCACCCCATTTGTAAGTACGGATCCGATGTAAGTCGGATCCATGTAACCCGGGGACTGCCTGTAATTAAATCATTTATACATTGGAAGTTGAAAATCCCTGTATTTATTACAGGTAAAATTAGTTATAACATTCATGGAATAACTAATTTAATATATGTCATTTTATATATGTAAATATATCCATTCTAAATGTTTCATTCAAGTAAATACATTTTACATAATAGATGGAATTGGGGAAAGAGATGGGAGTGAACCCACTGCAGTGAAAGTGGAGTTGCTGCAGGGAAAAATGCAGAGAAAAGAACAGAGGAGAGTCACAAAGAAAAGGGAGAGAGAAATGGAGAAAGAAGAATGAGGAAGGTGAGAAACAAAAAGGAACTAACAGTGGTAGGCCTCACAGTGTGTGATCAATTTTAGATAAGGCACTTAATAATAGTTATGTGAACATTTAGTTACAGCCTAAAGATCATATGCTCCATATCTATGCAAAGTACCAAATGATACCAATGAGCATTTCACTTGGCACACTGTGCATATGTCTACACTGCAGAGTTTTTTTGGAAAAACTACACTTACGTCCACACTGCAATTGTGTTCTTTCGACAGAAAGTTGAAAGAATGCAGGTTTTTTTCTGACATCAGTAAACCTCTTTCTATGAAGAAAAAGCCATTTTACAAAAGAGCTCTTTTGGAAAAGGGCACGTGTGGATGGGGAAGGGTTTTTTTTTCAAAAGAAGAGGCCATCAGGAAAAAGCATAGGTGCCCTGGTGGCCACTCCATCTGTAGTAATCACAACTTAAATGTGAGATAGCGTTCAATAACTGCGGATGCTATCTTTCGAAAAAGCAGATCGCTTTTTGATACGCTTTTGCTGTGTGGATGCTCTCTTTCAAAAGAAGTTTTTCCAGAAGATCCAGAAAAGCTTCTCTGAAAGAATCCTGAAGTCTAGACATAGCCTGTGGTATGTATAGACCTGAATTTATTTTCTAGCTCACAGACCATAATTAAACATGAAATTCTTTCCTTTCTTCCAAATAAGGTTGATATCCCTGTTCTATAGACCATTTACAAGCAGTGTTCTCATAGCCATAGCATACAGCTGATTTCAATACATAACAGCACAAGGTGAAGACAGAATACCGTATTTAGTTCCAGTAAGAGAGGAACTTTACTAGGCAACTCCAAGGAAAACTAAAGTGCTATAAGAATCAGGGGTTGTCTACACTTCAAATGCTATAGCCGCATAGCTGCACTGTTGCAGCTCTTCAGCACTGACCCTACCCTTTGATATAGGTAATCCACTTCTCTGAGAGGCAGTATCTAAGTCAAACCTGTTTGGTTTATGGGCTCTGACAATAATATGGTCTGAGGTGGTACTGCTGCAGATAAGCTACATACATTCAGAGGTAAAACCTGGGCGGTATTAAGAACTTGCCATGTCCCTTGAGCTTGATCTTCTGGCATTTATTGGACTCTATGCATCTACACTGCACCGTTATTTTGAGATAACTAGGGTTATTTTGAAATAAGGATGTGAGCGTCTACACAGTCATTGCATTATTTTGAAATAATTTTGAAATAATGGATGGCTTATTCTGAAATCTGAAAACCTCATTATATGAGGAATAGTGCCTATTCCGAAATAGCCATTTTGAAATAAGGCATGTGTAGATGCTCCACTGATGCTATTTCGAAATAGCCTGTCACCAGGGCCATTCTAAGTTATTCATCCCCAGTGCTTCCTGGGACTCTAAATCAAGATAGCATGTCTACATTAGGGAAGCCTGACTCAGACTAATTTTGAGGCTTCCCTGTAGTGTAGACGTGCTATTCTGAAATAAGCTATTTCAGAATAACTATTCCAGAAATAAGCATGCATTTTCTGAATGTGACCAACATTTTTGTTTTGTTTCTATTTCTTCAACTTCACCTGTGGCTGTCCTTTGCATTTTTCCCACTTACTGACACAGTTTCTTTGATTTTGAAACTTGTGGGCCAGATTTTCAGCTGATGTAAATTAGCTTTCACCACTGAAGTCAGGAGCACACTAGTGTAAACACATGAATTTGAGTATTTCTAAATAATGGGAACTGGATTGATAACCACTTAAATAACATCTATAGGATAAAAACTGATAATTTGTCAATGAGAAAAGTTGGTAAAAATGAAAAATTTAATCAGTTCTAGAGTTCTTGCTTGTGAGACCTAGTATGAGTGACCAAGGAACATTATGGGTATAAAAGTTAATGTGGCTTGGTTGGTCTAGAAATTATAACAAGGAGTCTTAGAAATGTGGGTTGTAATCAAGGTTGTACTTCTGAGTCACTGTACACAATTGAGTAGATCACTTATTTTCTTTTGTCTTAGCCACTCCAAATGGATAAAAATCAAGATACTGTGATATTGTATTTTACTTTAGCTTTGTTAGGCAAAAAAACTTTCCTGTAAAGCATTTTCCAATCATGGAACTGGTGTCAATAGAAAAATTAAATATCCGCACTAAATGTACTGTGGTAGTCCCTATTCAGGGCTCTTGAACTCCCTTGTAATTCTCATAGAAGAGTGATGCTGCAGGGAAAGCATAGATGGTGTGGAAATGTGTCTTCCCATGGTGCTGGGGCTTCACGGCTATGGATAGCTCAGGCAGATAGGCACACGTGTCTTCCAGGACAGCATTCCCCACACCAGTGATGAATTAATTATATTCTGCAAAATGACAATGTGCTTGCAATCAGTTGTTTCATTGTTTTGCAAGAGCAATGAAAGGAAATCTTACCTGGTCACTTCCATTACTCATGTACCAGATCCAGTTGATAGGAGTATATTTGACACTTTTACAGACCAGGACAACAGAATCTCCTACATAACTGACTACATGATGTTCTTTTCCATCAATCTGAGGTGCTAAGAATAAATAAAGAAAATTTTACTAAGTAAGCGCTAAAGATTTAAACTGAAATATACAACACATCAAATTTTCTATTTTTAAGAATATATTAGTCTTCTCTTTTCATTTCCCCAATTAACATGGAAACCACTGTATAGCTCAGAGTTTCTCAAATTGGAGTCCCCAGGGTACCCCAGAATGTCTGGGAGCACCACTGGTCAACTCCACCCCGGAGTCTCCTGCATACTGTAAGTCCAGCCTAGATCCCAAACTCCTTCCCAGAACCCACACCCCACGCACCCAAACTCTCCCAGAGCCTGCACTCCACAACCACACCTGAACTACAACCCTCTGCTCCAGCCTGGTACAGTAAGTGAGGAGGGGGGAGAGTGAGTGGATGGAGGGATGGGGTATGGAGGTGGGGGTGGGGCCTTGGAAAAGGAGAGGGATAGGGGCATGGCCTCAGAGAAGGGGACAAGGCAAGGGCTGGCCAGAGAAGCTTAGGGGTTCCTGAAAAATTTTAAACCAAAATGGGGGTCCTCGGATTGCTATCATTTAAGAACTAGTGTTATCGCACATGGGTTCTAAAGCATGAACTATATAAGGGTTACTTCTGGCTGGAGTGCCACATACAGAATTTAAAATGGCATCTATGGTAATTCCACTTGCAGAGCAGTTGCAGGATTTGGCATCAATGCACTATCAAAAAGTAACTTTAAAGCTAAAATATTAACTGACTTCTTGTATTCTCACCCACCTACCCACCTCCATACTCAGCCATGAGCGATCCAGGATTCAGATTCTGTTACAATCTATATGAATATATAAATCTAAAAGCATAAAAAATCATGCAATTTCCAAAACTGCAAGACTTCTTTGCAGGCTACAATAACATAAAATGATAGTATTTGGTCAGTTTTGCATGCTGGAAAATATTGCTGCAGAACAGTTTTCAGTTTGCCTTGATTGAAAAAAATCAAGGGATTGCAGAAACGTTATACTTTCAAACACTGACATCTAGATGTACAAACTGAGTGAAGTACCAGCAACCCAACCCTGCAAGAAACAGCATAGGGCCACAAGACACAATGCATAAGATATTAATTTGGAATTACTTATGCTGTAATTTTATTATCGCTATAGAAGACCTAAAGTGTTCCCAATGCAGAAGCCTATATGCTCAGTTGAACATATTGCTCCACCCACTGATATACTTAACCCTAGACAAATAAACCATGACAAATAATTTATCTGATGAAAGTCACCTCTTTTTTCTGTTCTTGGAATGTCTACTAGCAGATCATGATTTTCTTAATTTTTTAAAAAATTGTATTCCTTATATTTTTCTGGTTCTGTCTTGCTATTTGGAATAAGAGATGGCATATTCACACAAGACATAGCAGACCAGATCCACGCCTTCAATGTATATAAGCTGAAGATCGGCCCCAGCATTTTTTTTCTCTTTCTTAATTGGATGAGAATAAAAGTTTTCTGAGGTGAATTTAAGTAAATACATTTAATGTTCACTTTCTGTGAGTACTCAAGCTTGCAGTATTCAAATTAATTTTCCAGTTACATTCGTGCTAATAACATATGGTTGCTTACAAACTCTCTGACTGCAGCAGGGCGTGCAAATATGACTAAAGCAAATTCATAAAAAATTCAAATGAATATTCATGGATATTTTTCACTATTTTCTCAACTCTAGATGAGCCTAATTAGTAGAAGCTTATCACACATTAGTAATGTACAGCAACCCAGCAGTTACCACTGTATCCCATCATTCCATATTTTACAATTTAACAAATAATCCATCAAATAACAATGTGAGTTGGCTGTCATGCCTGCTCTGCTGCTGACCTCCTAGTAAGGACTTCCTGATTTGGATTCTGACTGCTGATTGATCCCTGGAGTCCCAGCGCAGACTCCAATACTTGTATCGAGCCTTGGCCTGATTCCTGAGCCTGGCTCTGACTAGAATTGCCAGCTTTCTAATGGCAGAAAACTGAACTCTCCTGCTCTGCCTGGAGTAGGGATGAGAAGTTTGGGGTGCAGGAGAAGACTCCAAGTAGGAACAGGGGGTTGGGGAATGGGAGGGGATTCAGGATCCCGGTGGCTCCCAGGAAGTGACCTCCATGTCCCCTAGGCAGTCAGGAAGGCTTCCCATACCTCATCCCCCTACAGCACCCATTGGCTGCAGTTCCTGGCTAATGAAGCTGTAGAGTACCCCTGGCTTGAGCAGAAGCAGCATGCAGAGTATTCCTGGCTGATTATGCACCTAAAGGCATCAAGGACCTGGAGGTTGCTTCCAAGAGCTGTGCAAGCAAGGACACATATGGAGCCTACATTAGTTCCAGAACCTGGCTTTGCTGCCAACTGGACTTTTAATTTCATTCTCTGAAAATCAGACCACTTTAAGATGCCACAAGCAGGGCACTGAATTCAGACGTTAGGCTTACAACCCCTTTTAGTCTTTCCCATGAAAAGACTAAAAATCTTCATTTCATGATTTACAAAGGGCTAGTATGAATAATTACTAAAGATTCTTAGTTTGCCTAAGTGGTTTAGCTACTACTATTCAGTCTAAGTGCCACTGTTCTAAACCAAAAGGAAACAATAACTACTTTCAGCTTCAATTGATAATTATTAACGGTTACAATTTATGATTATAGGAGTTCAATGAGTTCTATAATAGCATGTCAGAGTAGAATATCACAACGCTCCCTTCTCGCCTTATAATATATGAATGTTTGTATGATTTTCATGTGAAACAATCAGCGTTAATACAACTTGCCTTGCACATGAAATGTGGCTTTCACTTCTTTTTCACTTTTAAAAATACAAGTGTAATTTCCCATTTGATTTCTCTCTCTGATATTCAACCTATAAAAATGAATAAGTGAGAAAGCAAAGATACGGGCATTTTTTGGACACCTAATATGTATAGTAAAAGAAAACCAGAAAAGATTAGTATTAAAAGATGAACTACAAGTTGTTAACAGTGTACGGTTCAGGTTTCATGAAGAATGACAGAAAGAATAAGTACATTCTATGAAAGATAAAAATTAGAAAATGTACACAGTGCACATACAGTGTACTCTTTCTGTATTTCACAACACATGGCTACACATAGACACACATTCAAGATCAGATATCTTTCTAAATGCTCTAGTTCAACCATAAGTTTATGGGTTACCGGCAAGCTTACTGAGTGAAATCACTTGTGTTGTACAGGAAGTTAGACTACATGAGTTCCTTCTAGCCTTAAAGTCTATGAATCCTCATGAAACGTATGGATCTTGCAGCTGCAGATCACCACACAAAATAATTTTTAAAGAGATGTCATCCCATTGTTTGGGAGTAGAGCAAGTGCTGGCCTCCCAATTGGCTTTGTCATAGCCAGTATGGATGACACATGTATAGACTGTACATGCACTTGTGCAGCTTGCAGCTGCAGATCACCACACAGAATAATTTTTAAAGAGATGTCATCCCACTGTCTGGGAGTAGAGCAAGTGCTGGCCTCCCAATTGGCTTTGTCATAGCCAGTATGGATGACACATGTATAGACTGTACATGCACTTGTGCAGTAGTGGGGAGCAGTGCAAGTGCACAGCCCTGGTATTCCCTATCTCAGCTATCACAATGGAGAACTTGTACTGTGATAAAATGGAGGCTCTAGAGTGTTTTCTGGAAACTTTTGAAATACCCAATAAAACTTCCTATGTTTCAAAAGATTAAACAAATTTCAATTTTCCCCCTCAAAATATATCTACCGTGAGACATATGGAGGAGGAGTTAGGGCAGTAGATGGAGTGGGGAAAGGGAAGGACAAAAGGCTCCTCCATTCCTTCTTCCTATGATGGCGAATAGAGATATTGGGGGAGAGAGATTAGTTTAGAAGAAAGAAGCTAACAGGCAATGGCTGCTCCTGTTACTTGAAAGAAGGCATCATTTCCTTCTGCTACTTCCATTTCAGACTGCCTGGAGAAGTCCTTTGTTTATCAGACCACAGAGGTGAGGCAACTGAGTTACCTTGAGCCAGGGAGAAGAAAAGGAGATAACCCTAACCCTTAACATTATCCTTGGCTCCCATGTATGGGTTTTGGGAACAAATTAGCCCTAACTGAGGCTCATTCAGCGTGAACTTTTTAATGTCTATACATTTTGTAACATATCTGGTTTTACAGACATAACATCTTTACATGGAAAACATTTTTCATCACATATGCTACAGTACATACAACATAAGTCGATAATGGTTACTGAACAACATCTGTATTTGATTTAATTCCTTCAATTGTGCCTGGTAAACTGTAAAGAAGACTCACGTATATTGAGTACTCCAGACATTTTTGAGTTTACTAGAGGTGACATTGCCACTTCTGACTGTTTCATTATCCTTCTTCCACGTCATATTAATGGCTGCTGAATCAGTGGATGTGCTGTTCAGGGTACACAAGAGTTCAATGGTAGCTGGATCGGCTAGTATAACTGGTTTTTCCACTGGAGCACTGGAAAACCCTATCAAAAAATAAAATAAATGAATGTATCTAAAAGAAGCATCTTACTTCCTTTTTGGGGGGATTGAGATACTTTTCAATTATTGGATCAAATTCTGGTTTAATTTACACTGGTGAAAATACAGAATAACTCTACTGACAGCAGGGGAGTTAATCTAGATTTTACTAACACAAGTGAAAGCAAAATGTGACCCAGTGTTTACCTATATATGGTGCCTAATATGGACAGAACCACAGTGTTAAACAACTATGCTTTTAAGAAAATGTTAATGTAGAAAAAAGTGCTTTGCATAAGACCTTTACGTTACAAAAGTGACTATGGTTGTTGCCCAAGTATAACATAGGTATACACACACCACTGAAAGTCCATAGTATGTGTACTCCTAAGACACTTGGTGCTTTTGAAAATTCCGCCCTCAGATCCTTTGGGGCCTATAATTTTAGATACTGATTCTGTGTCTATTGAATTCAACAGCAAAACTCCCAAAATCAATGAGGCTGAATCAGGCCCTTAGCACTACTGTTGCTTGAACTGGTTGTATGTTGTTTAAGCTATCTTTAGATCCATCTGCTGCTGCTGCTTTTCCAATGGCAAACTACCAGTACTGCAGGAAGCAATGTAAGAATGTTCTCAAACCCACAGTGAAAATGACACATTTTTGACTTTTAACCAGTTCCATTTGGGTGTAATAATAACCAAAAGGTCTTGTAAATAGACATTTTCTACAGGCTGAAAAAAGCATATGAGTAACAAGCCTTTTAATTCTGAAATATATAAATAAATCTCTTTGACTTCTTATCCCCAAGCCCAGTGTTGACACTTCATTCTTTCCATCCTTAGACATTCCTTCTTGGCCTGGCTATATGTCCTATGGAGTTCTGCTTTTTGGGAACATAGCCTACATATAAAAGTTGCTCTGCATTACAAAATTCAACTCCTTTCTATGAACAGCATTTAATAGGAAGTCATAAAGCATGTCCCACTGGCTCATCACAGAAATTGGAATCTCAGAGACAAGTAAGATACAACAGAGGAAGTAGAAAAGCATCATTCCAAGGGACACAAGGCCACACCACACCACAAAACACTTTTTTTCTTTATATGCTTCTGACATAGGCATATTTGAGGCTTATACATCAGAGAGCTTAAAATTCCTCAGGTGGAATGTTAAAGCCCCAGATCAAGGAATAATAAAGTTTAAGTATAAGGCCTGGGTTTTGTGTTTTCTGCTGCAGGAAAGTGGAGCCATAACCGGAATCCATTTATGAAAAATAACTAGATTTTTTTTCTGGTGACATCTCTTAGATTAAAAAAAATATAATAAGAACATTAAACCTGCCAGATTTGTATATCAGTTTATATCCAATATGATTCTTCAAGTGGATTTTTCTCTCTATAGCATAAATTTTGCAATCAAATGACTCATGAATGCTAAAACAATATAGGTGACATTCAAGATTCACTATTTTTAAAATGCTGCTCTCCAGATTAGTAGGAAATTATACTTCTCTGTTGTTAGATGTAGGGCATTCTATAATGCCGATTATCATAGCTTCTCATAGCTAGAGGAAAATATATTGAGAGATGTACTAGGAATGCAAATACTTAACTGGTTGATCAGTTGATGCCTACTGGTTATGGTTAATCAATAGCAAAGACAAAATACTTATTGCTCCAACTTGTATTTTTAATAAAATATTCAGTCTGACTTTCTGCAGCATAACAGTTATTAGAATGTAACAATGTAAATGGGACAAGCTTATTCATCTTTCCTCTGCTACAAGCCATGTAGTTTAGGATTTTGCCTACTGCTGTGTTGCTAGTTAAACTGCTGATAAGAAAAATCCTACTTTATATACATTTTAGGTAAGGATGTTAAGAAGTGGGTAACTGACTAATTGTGTAGTCGATACAATTTATAACGACTACACAATTAGTTGATAAGGGGAGGTGGAGTTCAGGAGTTACCCCTGCTGTGGCTCTGAAATTTAAATGTAGTAGGAGCTGGGTGCATAGGCTGAGCAGTCCTGGCTCACGCCAAGTCCCAGACTGCTGTACCTCTGCCTTTTAAATGTAGGAAGAGCCGCTTGGCTCTTTTAAGCTGGCTCCCCAAAGCACCAGCTCCTGTTTCCCCTCCCTGTTGCTGCCTGATACAGAGGCAGCAAGGAGGTGGAATGGGGAAAGTGAGTAGTTGAATAGTGACTCGACTACACAATAAGCCTAGGCTCATCAGGTAGTCGACTACTCAACTAATCATTTACATCCCTAATTTTAGGCTCAAAGATGAAGCAGTACAAACAAATAATGTGTACTATCACAGCCATCTGATATTACCGAATAACTTGGAAAAACATTAAAACATTAAACAAGCTACAGGGTGAAAAATAAACCCATTTACCTGGTATGGATATGTTATTCAGCACTATTGTGAGATTTTCATTAGTCTGCTGATTAAAATCTTGTGCAGTGAGATGTGAACCTATCAAAAAAGAAAAGTGAAAGTGATAAGTTATTATCATACAGCCATCATTATTCAGCAAAGTATTATTGATGCGTTATAAATGGTTATTTTAATAAACAACAGAAGTGCAGGGACCCTGTAGAAGCCTGATTCAGCTTCTTTGCCATGTACCATGTATTAGCTGTCAGATTCTGAAATTAGTGGTGGCCTGAGTTCACCATTATTATTACATCATTTAAAAAATATTAATTTCTGGCTGCTTGCTCTGACTATAACACGGTGAACATTATCATAACAAGTGGAAGTAAAATATCTAGCTATGCTAGGACCTGATTCAGCACAGCATTTAAACACATGCTTAAATTAAAGCATGTGAATTATTCCATTCAGAGTATGGGACTACTCAAAAGCTTAAAAAGCAACAAATAGTCTAGTAGCACTTTAAAGACTAGCAAAACATGTAGATGGTATCATGAGCTTTCGTGGGCACAGCCCACTTCTTTAGATGACCGGAGTGTTGGAAGTCCAGGTCCAAGATAAATAAGAGAAGGACGGAGGTGGAGGGAGGAGAAGGAAAAAAAATGAAGGTGAGGAAGAAAAAAAGACAGAGAGTAGATAAGCTTCAGAGGGGTAGCCTAGTCAGTCTGTAACAGGAAAGACTTAAAAAACAACAAATAGTCTAGTAGCACCTTAAAGACTAAATAGTTACAAGAGGCTGATAAGAACCATTAGTTAGCACTTTGAAAGGAAGATGACCAACACCAGATTCTACACAGACATCAAGAACCATTAGCACCATCATTGTTTGGTTAGTTGGTAATGTACGAGCCATCGGATACCACAATTCAAACCATTAGCATGAGAATTATAATTATATTATAATAATATATTAAATTACTCCTGGGTGGTCAGGGAAGGTGCATAGTGCCTGCATCTTTAGAAATTCTAGCCAATTCCAGAAGATGCATGCCAGCCCTTTTTTCCCCAACCGCACCATCAGGGCCAGTGACATGGACATGCCCACGTGCATCATGGGTGACTCTGCCTATCCCTTGCTCCCAAGGCTAATGAAGCCCTACACAGGACACTTGGACCACAAGAAAGAGTGGTTCAATGCCAGGCTCAGCAGGGTCCACATTGTGGTGGAAGGCGCCTTCGGCCATTTGAAGAGAGTTTCCGCTATCGCCTCACTTGCCTGGACCTTGGCAAAGAGAATGCCCTCCAGATGGTGGCAGCCTGCTGTGTCCTGCACAATCTGAGTGAGAACAAGGGGGAGACGTTCCTGCCAGGGTGGGAGGCCAAGCAATTGGCCAGGGCCTTTGAACATCCACACACCACTACCATCTGTCAAGCCCAAGAGGGGGCTGTGCACATCCGGGAGGTCCTGAGGGAGAGTTTCAGACTAGGGAAGTAATAGTGTAGTCAATTAACCAATTAACCAATAAGCAAAAGCTTATAAGTTAATGCTATAGACTACATGCATTTCCTGCCCCTCCTCTCCTCCCACCAGTAAATTTTTTAGCAGGCTGGCCAATAGCCTGGCTCAGTCCCAGCTTGCACTGGGTCTGGGACCTACTCTTTTTACGGCTCTGAGTTTAGAGTGTATTAGGAGCCAGGCGGGCAGGCAACCCAGCTCAATTCCAACTCACACCAAGTCTGGGAGCTCAGACCCTGCCCTGGACAGGGGTTGCTGCCACCCTGTGCTGCTGATTCCAACTCACACCAAGTCTGGGAGCTCAGACCCTGCCCTGGACAGGGGTTGCTGCCACCCTGTGCTGCTGCCTCTGATACAGAGGCAGCAGCCTGGAGTGGCAGAGCCCACAGCCTGGAGTCTTCAGGAGTGGGGTTGGACTGCACTGGCTGCCAGCCTCACCCCTGTGTGGTTTAAAGTAAAAGGTTCGTAAATGTGGCTAGTCCCAGGGAGGCACAGAAACAGGCAAACTATTACTAAATATCTTTTAAACTTTTATTAGAATGCTACCAATTATAGCTTTTCTTTATTAGTCTCTTACATGTGTGGCCACCAAATAGTAGGAGCAATAAGCAAAGTGCAATACAATAAATGAAAATTCCCTGAGCTTTTTCTAAGTCCCAATAGTTGTCAATAAGGGACCAGGGATTATCAACAGTTACATTTACATCAATCTTACTCATAAGTCTAATTACTTATCTAAAACTCTTAACAATACTACTTAACAAAACTTTTAACTAAGTTTAGATAGCAATAGTCACACTTAAAAAAACACAAAGTACAACAGCAACAACAGCATAGTTGGTATACGTTACGTTCTACAGGAACTCTGGTTCGGTGAGTGGGAGGTGGCCCTCAGGTGATCAGTCCTTGGGCCTGGTCATATTCTGCCATCCAATGATTATTCGGGATTCCTCAATTTGATATAGGAAGGTAGCTGTTTTATAGAGAAAGCTTTTGCGCACTTTTTGTGATAGGCTAGCAGACCCTGTCTGTTAAGTGACAGGAGTAAGGGGGTGAGATGGTTTCCTGTTTTTCCTTTTCTGCCTTATCGGGCATGGCACAGTCAGCACAACCAGCATGAACTTTACATGAACTTTTTAGGTCTAGTTTTGGTTTCTGTTCGTCGCTGACCTTTAAGTTACATAGTGTAAGGGTTTTCATCAAGGGGAAGTTGACCTTTTGCTTGGATGGCAATATGCACGAGAGGCCTGGCCAGCAAAGAGCCTGCTTCCACACCCTGGAGACTATAGAATAGTCAAGTAACCAATAAGAATTCATGAGGTTAATCAACTATTCAATTAACCATTATTTAGCATCACTATTTCAGACAAGACCAGCTGTGGCACCCTTACCTGGGCCTCCCCACAAGGGGCCTCTGTATTGCCCCTCTTTGCTTTTCCCCTTAAATCCCTTCATTCTCCTAACCTCCCTTCCCACATTTCCCATCCCTCCCCTCCTCTTCAGACCAAATAAAGAAGACTTTTTGTTTTGGCACAAGAGAATCTCTGTGAATTTATTTGGAGTAAATATAACTGGGGAGGGACTGGGGAAAGAACTTTGGAGGGGGGAGGTGTAAGGAGCAGGAAGGTCTCAGGGAGGGGGCTGGGACTGACGCCTGCCTTCGGTGGTCCTACCGCCTCATGTGTGGGGCCCTCAGTGGCTAGAAGGAGAGGTTAAGGGGTAGGGGTAGGGACGGGAGTGGGAGTGGGAGTGGGAGCAGGAACGGGGGACTTGAGAGGAGTGGGTGCAAGGAGGGGGTGGCTGCTGGACTGCTCAGTCGCGATGACCAGGTGGTCAATGGTGGCAGCTTATGCCATGCACATGCTGCAGTAGCTCCTGCCAGATGGTGTGGTGCAGCTCCAGGTCAATGTCTGACCTCTGCTCCTGCTGTTCGAGACACTGCTGCAGGGCACACAAGCAGGTGATGTGTTCCCGCTCCAAGTCCTCATGGGGTTGTCTGCGGTGGTTCTTGCAGGGTGGGGAGGATGGTGCAGTAGGTGGTGGATGTTTCTCATTCATAGCTGGTCCAGCTGTGAAGAAAAGTGAGAAGGGTAGTCATCCCTGGAGACTTTGTGCCTGAACCCTAGCCCTCATCTGTCAGCTGACACCAAAAGGTCTCACATCAGATGAAGGCGATGTGCTTTGAGCAAGGCCATCTGTGGCCTATACAGCAGGCACTGTCCTGCAAGGGCACGGATGTTTTGGGGAGCCTCGCTACCTCCACTCTTGGGAACAAGCAAGCACAGGAAGGTGCCACCCAGGCTGGGAGCCTGAGGGCAGGCATTCTGGGGAGCCTCGCTACCTCCACACTTGGGAACAAGCAAGCACGGGAAGGTTCCACCCAGGCTGGGAGCCTGAGGGCAGGAGTGACAGGGCATCGCACCTTCTCTCTGTTCTGCACACGCACTGAGTCTGGCAGTGGCGGCATCCCACAGGGAGAGAACTTCTATCCCTGGCTGCTGGAGACGGGAGGAGGACATTGGGGGAGGTGTGTATGAGCAGCAGATGCCACTTGTCAGGGAGGGCTTTACTGGGCTCCCCTCCTCTTCCTTCCTCCCATGCAGGAGCTCGGTGTCCTCTGCTTTGCCGTGCTTGCTTGGGTTTGGATGCTGCCCCAAGAGTGCAGTCATGACCCTGTGCTGTGGGCAGCACAGTTGTGTTTCCCCCCAACCCCATCCTCCTTAGTGGTAGCTTATGGTGGGAAGGTGTCCCACCACGGAGTCGGGAGTAAGCCAGGCTTGTGCAGGAACCTTGTGAGAAGGAGTGATTGGTTCCTGTGTGGCAGCCTCATGCGGCTGTCTGCTCCGGACTGGCACTCCATGTGCACCTACATGCACAGGCTTCTGTGCAATCCCCAGGCCAAGAAGTCTGAGCGAAGAGTGCGCAGCCCCTTATTGCCCACAGCTTCCCTTTACATATGTCTAGGGAAAATATGGAACTCACCTGATGGGCCTTCCCCGTCTTCGTCCAAACCTGGGCGACATCTGGGGGAAGAGGGAAGCATGGTTCCAGGGTCAGGATGAGCTTCTGGTAGGCAGGCATGGTGTCAGTGCTGGCCTCCTCCTCCTCCTCCACTTCCTCCTTCTCCTCGTCCACAGCCTGCCCTCCAGGAGGTTCACAATGGCTATCTCCAGGCTGGAGTCCATGACATGGCAGGGGGGAGGGGAGGACTGACCCTCCCCCCCCCTGAGAATGTGGTGCAGCTGCTCATAAAAGTGGCACACCTGGGGTGCTGCCCCTAAGCAGGAACTCTGCTCCTGACCTCCGTGTAGGCCTGCCTACGTTATTTAATTTTCATGCGCACCTGCTCCTAAGTGCACATGTGGCCCTTCTGGCCCATGGTGGCGGCCATCTGGCCGTACACATCTGCATTCCGGCATATGGTATGGAGATCCTGGAGGTTAGCAGACCTCAAGGAGATCCAGGATCTCCATACCTGACCTGGAAGGGGCCCTCCTCTTCCACCCCTTCAGAACTAGCTGCTGGCTCGCTTGCAGCTGTGGGGGGCTCAGTGGGAGCACTGGGATCACTAATGGCAGCAGGGAAGGCAGTGAAACCTGCTGGTGTGTGGCACAGGGCTGTCAGGGCCTTCCTCATACCACAAGCCCTTTCCCCATTCCAAGACTGTCGGGGAAGGGAAAGTACAGAGTTCTGAAGGGTGTGGACAAAGTGTCCACCAGAGCAGCTGTGAGAATCCCTGGAGTCCAAATATTTTGAAATAACCACAGCTGCGCTGTCTACACACACCCTATTTCAAAATAACTATTTCAAAATAGATGTTAATCCACGTGAAATGAGGGTTTGTTTTCCAGAATTTTGAAATAATTTCAAAATAACAGGCTTGCTGTGTAGACGCTCACCTTGTTACTTCAAAATAATATGAGTTATTTCAGTGTAGACGTGCCCGTATTGACTTCAATGGAGTCAGGATTTCATCACTGGCCTATGAAAATTCTTCCTATCCCACAGAAAATCTCCTGCTCTGCATAGTGAATTCTATTAAGTAATATTGCATTCATATTAAAAAGACACCTCCTTTACGAGAAGAATGAAAGTTTTAAAGGACAAGGACTGCAATGGAAACTCAGGAGGAAGGGGAATTCCAGACTTTCAGAGAAGCCTGTTAGACAGAAGACAATGAGCTGTCCTGAGGATGCCAGTTCAGAGCTTTAGATAGCTTAAAACTTGTATCTCTAAGCAACAACAAATATATTTTGCACAAGACAGATTTTGATTTAAAAACATTGCAAACTGAAATTATCTGATATTAACAAGACAGACAAATGTGCGCACCCAGAACACTAAAAAATGGAAACTTAATCTTGACAGGTGTCAGTGACTATCAATGGAGTCATTAGAAACTGAGTCTTGGGCTATGTCTACACTGCAGGCTTCTTGCACAACAAGCTTTTTGCAGAAGAGATCACATATGCAGTGTGGATGCTCTTGCACAAGAAAGCTCTGATTGCCATTAACAGAATGGCCATCAGAGTACCTGTGTTTTTTCCGATAGGCTGTTTTTGTGCAAGAAACCCCTGTTTGCCGTCCACACATTCCTTTTTGCGCAAGAGCTCTTGTGCAAAAAGGCTTATTCCTCGTAGAAAGAGGAATAACTCTTGCTGAAAAACCTTCTCTTCTTACAATGTACTGTACATTTTCTTGTGCAAAAACTTGCTTGTAGTGTGGACGTTCCACGAGTTTTTGCGCAAAAACTCTGCAGTGTGGATATAGCCTGGGTAAATGCCCACAACGAAACCTTTGCAAAATCATAGCAATTCAGAAAAAAATGGCTTGAAATATGTAAGTTTGCAAAAGTTTGTGTGTAAGGATTAGTACATTAAGAAAAAGTATTAAGATGGAGGAATTAGAAGTTGAGCAACTGGTCTAGGAGGCACTGTGATATATATGAATAAGCCTGAGCCAAGAAGTCAGAGACATCCTAGTAAAAAAAAGAAGTCAGAGTAAAATCCTAGTTCCACGGTCAAATCTTCCAATAAGTCAGCCCAGCCAGAACAGCCCCTGTCTGCAGACTGGTAGGGGTGAGGCTTACCAATTAAACAGTTAAACATCCAAATCCCTATTTGCTATATGACTTCAGACAACCCACTTAAACATTCTGGGCCTCAGTTTCTCCTTCTGAAGAATGTATTTCATGAAAGGTACTTACTTAATAAAATGTAATTGACATCATACTGTCAAAGCCATTTAAGAAAGGGGATAACTGGGGGGGAAATGTAATCTGAAGCATACTCAAGTATAATAATTAACATTTGTTTTTTTACCAGGGGTAGATAAGTCATGTCTCTTCGTGGTATAATCAGAAATGCTCTCTTGAGTTTGCTGATTGATATCTCCTGTTGTCATAGCTGTACCTATTGGGAAAGAAAGAAAGAGTTAAACTAAGGTTAAAACTATTGTATTCCCTTTTTGTTGAAATGATGGGACAGATACAGCTGCATTTGAAATTGTTTCTTTTCATGAACTAAATACAAATATTGGCTGCATTTCTTTCAAACAACTGCCTGGCTCAGTGTGCACAGCGATAGTCATCTTGCAGAAAAAAAATCCATTGTCAGCTTCCTTTCTCACATGTCAATTGTCAGGGGTGATATTAGTGATAAAGCAGTAGTATGAGATCTTTACAATTAGTATGGGCCAGAGTCTGACTGGCACCACATTATTACACTGTAGGCAGAGAAGCCACAAAGATCCCCTCTCCCATCATACTATTCAGGCTTAGGACATGGAAAGGATTGCTCTGTCACTGTTCCCCAGGAAATGCCTGGTACTTCACGGTGCTGGAGAAAGGTGAAGAAGTGGGGTCATGTTTTCAGCTGTTCCCATAGGGTATGTCTACACATTAAAGTTAATTCAAAATACCAGCCATTATTTCAAATTAACTTTAATAGCATCTACACAGGCAAACCCCTATTTCGAAATAAAGTCAAAATAGCAGAGCACTTATTTCAAATTTGGTAAACCTCATTCCACAAGGAATAACGCCAAATTCGAAATAGCTAATTCGAAATAAGCGCTGTATAGACGCTTATTTCGAAATAGGAGGCCTCCAGCCCTTCCCAGTTTCCCCTGGTGGCCACTCTGGGACAAACCAGGAAAACTCCTCTCCTCTCCTCTCCCCCAGCCCAGGCCACCTTAAAGCGGTAGATTCGGGCCACACTGTATATGCCCGATCCAGACCTGCCAACAGTCGCTGCCCCTGACCCAGTGGCCCCAGGATGAACTGGGCAGCCAGAGCCAGCCAGCAGTCCCCTGCCCTGTCCCCCAGCACCCAGGAGTCAGCCAAGGGCCATAGATGGCAAGCGCCCTCCTGGACTAGTGCGGAGATCATGGACCGCATTGAGGTTGGGGGCAGGACCCCAATGTCCATGATCTCTGCACTAGATGGAGGAATGGGGCCATCATGTACGGCCACATAGCTGCCACTATGGCCACCAAAGGCCACATGTGCACCCAGAAGCGGGTGCGAATGAAAATTAAAGAGCTCTGGAAGGCGTACGCAAGGGCTACATGGGGCAGCTCCCCTAAAGGGGTAGACACCTGTCCCTATTTTGATGCCCTGGACCACATAATGGGAGGCGGGATGGTCCATGCCACCCTGGGGAGCAACGATCCGGGAGCAGAAAGCCCTGACCAGGGCGTGAAGGAGAAGCCGCAGGAGCCACCACAGATGGTTCCACTCCACCAGGACCGCCAAGCTGTCCCAGCAGCTAAGTCACCACCGTTGTCTGGGGAGGCCACAACATGTGAGTGCCATCACTGTCCCCTTCCTGGGGGAGGGAGGCGGGGCAGGGAGACCAGGGACGGCGCGCATGGGCCTTGCTTACCATGGATCACACAACAATCTGTGCATGTGAGAGCATGTGCAAGCATGTGCGAGCACGTCAGGACCGCCAAGCTGTCCCAGCAGCTAAGTCACCACCGTTGTCTGGGGAGGCCACAACATGTGAGTGCCATCACTGTCCCCTTCCTGGGGGAGGGAGGCGGGGCAGGGAGACCAGGGACGGCGCGCATGGGCCTTGCTTACCATGGATCACACAACAATCTGTGCATGTGAGAGCATGTGCAAGCATGTGCGAGCACGTGCCGTGCCACCCCTGGGCAGGTGGCTCTAGCTGCCTGCCACACAGGGGCTTTGACCTGATAGCCAGACGCGTGTGAAGAGACATGACATGCTCCTGACCCCGCAGCGGTACACAGCAGGATGGCCTCCCTTCACAAGCCCCCTCTACACAGAGGCAGGGGATATCTCCTCCCCACCTCAGCCGCACTATACACAGCACAGGGGCATGGGTGCGGTCTCAGGGCAGCTCCCGGTCCTGGGGACAGCCGGACATTCCGATCATGGCCTCTGTGCAAGCACATCAGCTCTGACGGTGCAGGGCACGGTCATCTTCACCTCGCAGAGGGGGGCTGGGCTTCACCCACTGTGTCCTCAGGGAGAACTGACCACTTGTTTGTTTCTCCACAGCCGCACCAGCTGCGCGTGAAGGGCGCACCACCTCGCCCAGGACATGCTCCTGCACCTGACGGCTCTGCAGGTCCACCTGAAAAGTGCAGAGGTACCGAAAGCAGCACCTGGGGGCACTGCGAGCCCTGCACCGCACCCTCCAGAACTGGGTGCAAGAAGACCTGCAGCTCCCGTGGGAGCAGCTTGCCCAGGGCCGTCCTATCTGCCAACACCTGCAGACTCTGGGGTAAAGCATGCGGTCTCCTGCCGCTCTATGGTGAGACCCCCACCATTGAGCTTCCCCTCCCCCTTCTTCCCCTTGCTTCCTCCTTCCAGCTCCCTCCTCCCAGGTTTCCCCCTCCCCTCTCCTACCCTCTCTCCTCCACTCTCCCACCTCCTTTCCCCAGTCTCCCCAGAGTTTCATCTCCCCGCCCCCCAGTTTTGTTAAATAAAGACAGTTCGTGTTTGTGAAAAAACTTGAATTTGTTTGACATCATCAAGGTAGACAAACAAGCAGGGAAACCTGAGAACCGGCTGTCCAGGCGGGGGAGGAGGGCACTGACCTACCTACTCCTTCACTTCCACTCCTTGTGGGCGGCCCTGGGCTTTGTGGACAGGGCTGGGGCAGTGAGCACAGCAGGCAGGACTGCACGAGGGAGAGGTCGGGACAGCAGCCCTCCACACTGCTGCTTTCCCCACTTCAGCAGGCTGCAGTGCCCCGAAGCACCGCATGCACATGGCACTTCCTATGCCTCACTGTGCACCATGCAAGGTGAGCAGGCATCCCTGTGCCTCCCTGGCTGTCGGGGTTAGAGCTGGGCCTGGTATGTGCCACAGCCGGGGTGGGGGTTAAGGTTGGCGAGGGAGAAAGGGACCAGGCTGCTGTGGTGGGGGAAGGGGCTTGGGCTGGCACAGCAGGGGGCGGGAGAAGGGGCCTGGGCTGGCGCGGGAAGGGGAGGAAGGAGAAGTGGGGCCAGGGCTGCTGTGGCCCAGGAGAGAGAAGGAGCCAGGCTTGCAGGGGGAGGAAGAAGGGACCTGGGCTGTTAGGAGTGGGGAGAAGGGGCCCAGGCTGGTGCAGCCCAACCTTCCCCGGTGGCCATGGGGAGAGCTGGGGTTACCTACCTCCCGTGAGAGGAAAGTTGGCGACCGCAGCAAGCAGGGGTACAGCCTCCTAGGGTGTGTCTAGACTACATGCCTCTGTCGACGGAGGCATGTAGATTAGCCAGATGGGCAGAGGGAAATGAAGCCGCGATTAAAATAATCGCGGCTTCATTTAAATTTAAATGGCTGCCCCGCTCTGCCGATCAG